TCTAAACAAAACTTGTTAAAATTTTAGCAGGGTAGACAGTGAATGGCTTTTTTTGGAAGTATGTATAATTTATAAGAAAATCGCAATTATTTGCTATTATCAAACGATGAAAATGTTTTATCATAACTTACCACCTTTAGATTTTAAGTATCAAATATGTCAATTATTTAGTTAAAAATAAAAGAAGTTATATAAAATTTGTTTTTATGCTTTTTCCGTAAAAATCTTGTATTCGGTATTTGGCCGATTACTTAGCAATATTCGGCTGAATACCGAATAGTAAAAAAAGTAGCCAAATTGGCCGTTTACCAAAAATTCACCGAATATTCGTGACATCTCTACTTTTTAGTGATATAAATATTGTAGCCACACATGGACCGCATCAATGCCATCCTATAAAAGAAAGCATATGTCTGACATGCTTCTCACACGTGGCACACGTGAAACTTTCACGCACAAATATAGCGACGTTCGTTTTTATTTATAGCCACGAATTGACCGCTCCAAATTTACATACACATACTTATAAAATTTTAGAACAGGGTTCTGAAATTTTATAAGTATGTGTATGTAAATTTAATAAGTTAGTGTTTTAGAAACAGGTATAAATCTATTTATTGGAAAGTATCAAAATTATTCTAACATCCAACAAAGAGTATCCAACAATCCAATGACCAATTTCAATTTTACTCGTTTTGTTTAAAACTTTAGAACAACCAGTATACTCTAAGCTAGAGATAATTAAAAAATTTTTTTTTTATTTAACGCCAACTTTAGTTTTCGTTAAATTTGATCAATTGAGCTGCAACCTTGTTTATTGATTCAATTGAGTTGCAACCTTGTTTATTGATTCAATTGAGTTGCAACCTTGTTTATTGATTCAATTGAGTTGCAACCTTATTTATTGATGCAATTGAGTTGCAACCTTGTTTATTGATTAAATTGAGTTGCAACCTTGTTTATTGATTAAATTGAGTTGAAACCTTGTTTATTGATTCAATTGAGTTGCAACTTTGTTTATTGATTCAATTGAGTTGCAACCTTGTTTATTGATTCAATTGAGTTGCAACCTCGTTTATTGATTCAATTAAGTTGCAACCTTGTTTATTGATTCAATTGAGTTGCAACCTTGTTTATTGATTCAATTGAGTTGCAACCTTTTTATTGATTCAATTAGGAAAGAAGTCAATAAAAATTAATGTCGGACCAGTCTTCATCAATTTGTCTTTATTCGAAACCATTGTTCACTATTGAATTATTGAAAAACTTAATGCATACCCAGTACGCAGAGCATACTTAATCTTATCTAACAATGGAAACTGTCAGATGAGCAGTCAATTTGTTGAAGGGTCTCTCAAAGATTTACTCATTGCCCTTTTTGTTCTTTGTACTCGTTAACAATTTTTTTGAATGTCTTTCTGAAAACATTTTGAAATAATAATGTTTGTAGACAAGTCATTTATATTGCTGACAATCATTACAGAATAATTGAAATGAATATGATGATTTAAATTTTTTATATCTTTATTTTGATAGCAATAATAAACTTGAAAATAGGAAAAACTTAACGTATGGTTTTTAAAACTTCAAACAAAGTAATTAAACTTAGCGAGCTTAAATTCATATGAAACTCAAAAGATACATTCCACAAAGCGTTAAAAATACCTTGTTTTAGAATCCGCTTTGAATTTAAACAAAAAATTTTACAGAGTATACAAAATGGCTTCTTCTCGTATAAGAATAATAAGTCGTTTGATCGCATTTACCTTCAAAAGCATCATTATGTGTCAACTCATCCTTAATAGTACCACAACTAACTGTCTATGCTATATCAAACCTCAATCTCTTTAAAACTCAAGTTTGAAAGCTAGAATTTATAGAGCAGAGCTCGTAGCATCATCAAGCAATTCAAATTTAATGGAAAAGTTATCCAACCTAAATCATTCTTTTTAATCGTGAAAAAAAAGGGCGTGTAACCAATGTTTGCTTATAAATGATTAACTGGAAACAGTGTTGTACGAATCACGTTCAAAAAATATTTAAAATACAAATACAAAATACTTTTAAGCAAAGGTATTTTAAGCAAAGGTATTTTAAGCAAAGGTATTTTAAGCAAAGGTATTTTAAGCAAAGGTATTTTAAGCAAAGGTATTTTAAGCAAAGGTATTTTAAGCAAAGGTATTTTAAGCAAAGGTATTTTAAGCAAAGGTATTTTAAGCAAAGGTATTTTAAGCAAAGGTATTTTAAGCAAAGGTATTTAAATCGCAAAATACAAAATACTCATTATCAGAGTATTTCAAATACAAAATACTTAAAACTTACAATTCTTAAAAGTGTTTTAAATCAGCTAAATTTTAAAATGTATTTTATTAAATATACATCTTTTGAAACAAGAATCGCAAGTTTCTTAAGAACTTACTCAACTGTTTGCATAAGAAACCCAAAAAACCAAAAAATTCAAGCAAATGGAAATTACACCCATGTACTGTTGTTTGTAGTTGATAATGAAATCGTTTAGGTTTTGTTACGCAAAAACTTTGGTACTTACTGTTAATTGATGTTTTTTAGTAGTTAAACTCGATATTAGTTGACCACCAATTCCACTACAAAACGTTTTGACAGAGACACCCATATTTTAAACCCTAGCGGGAACGAACGTTTATAGGACCTCTATAGACATTTTATAGAGGTCACAGTTTCGTAGAATACCCTTAAGACGTCCAACGAACATTCTTTGCTCGCAGTAAAAAATCCGTGAAAAAATCTATTGGTTAACAAACAAAAGAAGTGGAATAGATCGGAAGGTTACAAGATTGGAGGGTTACAAGATCGAAAGATTACATCAAAGGGACCGGAAGTTACCTGCATGCAACACATCCCTATTTTTAAAAAGTGGTGTAATGTTTGCATTTAACAAACTTGTAAGCAATGCTCCACTTAGAGAAAAACTGTCAGCAAATTTACTTAAAATTATCGGAAAAAATTCTATCAATACCTGTAGGCTTGCGTTTTTGCTACAAATAATAGTATAAGTGTCTATTGTTTAAGACAATATTAATAATATTAAAAATAAATTTAATATAATATAAAATAATTATAATTATAAATATTAAAAAATACAAGGATTAAAGCTAAAAAAAAAATATGATTAAATTTATAAATATACTTTAAATTTTTATCAAGAAATCATTTGGTGTTCAAAATAATAATTTCCCCCATACTTAAACGGTTGATGCCTACTTTAGTATATTTTTATTTTCAGGTTCTAATCAAAAAATTACGGCAAAACGTTCTTAAATGGACAAAATTATGAATATGCAATAGTTAAGAGTTTAAAACTTTCCTGGAAGTTACTTAAAACAGCTACACACTGGTACAAAAATTTTTTTAGTTGTACTTTGTTTTATTTCAAAAACATTTAAAAACTAATGTGCAAGCATATTGCCCATGTTAAAATAGGTAAAGTTTTATAATAAAAAAAACTATTTTATATTTTTATATATTTTTGCCACAGCATTTCGCGTGTTTCCAATCATCTTCAAGTTAAACGCAACAGTAAGAAAAAAATACAACATAAGAACAAATTTTATTTCTGGTTAAAATAAAATAAAAAAAACAACCTATGCTTTAGGGTCATTAACTTCAATCTGAGTTTTTTGCAGTCGAAAAATTTTCTTTTTTTTATGTTTGTGGGTTTGGCGATAAGTTATTCTCCTTTAAGCCCTGTTCATGTTAATATTTTTGTTAAAAATTACGGTTGTAAATTTTGTTCTTATTGGCAAAAACATACATATATATGCCTATAAAGTAAAAGTTTGCATAAAAAAATAGTTACGCATATTCCTATGTACTCGGCTATGTTTAGACGTTTTTAGGTTTAAACATGTTTGCACATGTTACGCCAATTTTCTTGCGTCAATTAACGTATTTACATTTACGGTTTAAGTACATTAACTTAAATACACTAACGTATTTTACGGTTTACGTACATTCGTATTCCGTCAATCTCAATAATCTGATGAATCAAAATCAAATCAAAACTTATTCTGAAAAAAAAGTTGAAAAGGTAAAAGTGAAAGAAACCAGTTTTGAATTTTGTGATTTTCGCCGTTTTTATGGAGATTTTAATTGGAAAGAAAGATAGTTCCATGATTTTATGGTTTGATAATGTAAGGATTCATAACCGTGACGAACAGATATTTAAAGTTATACTACAGATACAGACTTGAGGTAGCTTTATAGAGGCAGATACAGACTTTAAGCAGCTTTATAGATATATGCAATTTTCTCTTTAATTAAACAAAGTTAATGAATGGGAGTGGTAAGTTATTTTAATGACACAATTTAATAATTTTGGATAAAAAACAAAGTATGTTAGAGTTTGAACTAATACGCTAAATTAAATATTTTAGTTATATTTGATGTTTAAAAAAAAAAAGTACTTTAATTAATTTCTGCCCATCTCTATATAGTAGATGTACCCGCATTCCTAAATAGCAGATAATGCACATTTCTACGTAGAAGATAATCTATACAAACTTATTAATGTTGTCTCACAGTTAATTTTGTTTTTTGTAAATCGCGCACTTCAACAAACTATTTTCTACCACACCTAAAACTTCGAACGCACAAAAACCAATTTTTAGAATTTAATCATAGAATTGTAATACTATGTATAAATTAAATAGTAGATAAAATTATTTCTAAACATCTAATCCATTTATTGCGTACTAAAATAATACATACTAAAAATAAAATATACAAAAAAAAAAAAAAAAAATTAAAATTAATATATACTGTTTTATATTGTTATATTAATAATAACTTAAAACAGTATGTTGTATTTTATATTATCATATAAAACAATAATATTATATTTTATAATTATATTTACTGTTTAAAAATTTATTAATATAGATATATAAAACAAAAACGAAAAAAACATTCATAAAATTTAAGTAAAAAAAAAAATGCAACAAAAATTAAAAAAGCTATTTTATCTTTTAAAGTGAATTTCACTGAAATCATTTATAAAATATTTTTTTAAGACAATTTTATATCAATATATACCAATATTATCATTATATACCAAATAATCATCAGTTATTTTTTCTCATCAAGTTTTACATTCGATATAATTCGAGTAAGAATTAAAGGAGTCGATATAAGTTAAGGCCAGTTCATAACAAAACTTGAAATGAATCTATTAAAACAAAAAGAAATAATTTTAAAATATCATCAGCAAAAAATATAATTGTAAAAAACATAATTGTAACATCATGGTTGTATTAGGGTTATAAAACATGTCCTCTATCCTTTTATTTCATTATAATGTTTCCCCCCAAATCTAAATTCAGCATTGAAGTTGAAGGCTAAGTCAACTTGCTGTTCAGTAAACTTTTTAATCCGAGTTTTAATAAATATTCGCCGGTCCTTAGTGTTAAAATTAAATTTGCCATCTAAAAGCGTTTTTGCTATGCAATAAAACTTCATAACAAAATATACTTAATCCTTTTTATTTCCTTGTATCTATCTTAAACCCCTTTTCATTCAGTATAGTTTCAAGTCTCACCATTCTCCTAAATGAGCAATATGTGTCAACTCAAATTCCAAAGAAACCACAATATGCCTGTGAAAGCTTATGACTCCTGGATTCCAAAAATATAAAAAATCAAATCATCCTATTACGTCCGAGAAAGAAAATCACTTTTGCACATATTCATGAAATGACAGCATTCTCGAAATTTTACATTTTTACAGCATATCAACATTCAAAAAGCTCTTTGAAAATAATAAAACCTACTTAACATAATAAAGAAACAAAAAATATGAAAATGTGAAAGATTTTATGTTATAAAATTGGTAGTAATCCAAATAGGTAAAAGATCACTTGGATAAAATATTGCTTTTCTGAAAGTTTTTTCTAATAAGTTAACTATTACTCTAGAATAATTTCAATAATAGTTTTTTTTAATTTGCACTTTTTGAATAAAATTGGTAATTTTAAATTATTTTTAAGAATTTACAAAAAAATTCCGGGAAAAGGCAGTTTACTACAAATCAAAGCTTTAGAAGGTCGATTTTTTAACCTTTTCTCCTAAAACAAAATCTGATGGAATTGTGGCAGAACAAATTGCCAGCTCAACAATTGTCAGCAAAGAATCTTCTCCTTGTGGAACCATTAGACTTGTGCAGCCAAAAGAAGGAGGACTGCTCCCAATCACACAAGGTTTGTATATAATTCTTCATTAAGGTCGACCATCACATTTAAGTAACTGAAATATTATTTACTCTTTAACAGGTCCTTCTTGGTCTAAGCAGTTGTTCAAAGATCCAGCTGTAGTCACCGCAAAGGATCTTGCTCAAGTTCAACTAAATACAGGATTGTCAAAAGTGGAATAAAAAAACTGACTTCCACCATTAGGCATGTTTCGTCTGCCAAAGTTCTGGAACCAAATATATTGCACAAGTTCCAGGATCTCGGAAAAAGTCTAGAAGAACACTTTTACACAAACCCCAAAAACATTCATTAGTTCAGATCAAAAGAAGTCTCAAAGTGTTGTTGTCCATTGCAAAAATCTCCAAGCACTCACTGAAGAAGTTCTACTTTCAAGGAAGGTTTTCTCAAAACACATCATTAAACTTGGAATAGATGGTGGTGGAGGTTTTCTTAAAGCCTGCCTTGGAGTTCTACAAAATGAAGCAGATAGTGAAGCTGTGTCTCCGCCAAACAAAAGATTTCTGACATCTTCAACGTCCAAGGATTCTGGAGTAAAACAGCAACTTCTGGTTGCAGTTGCTGAAGGAGTTCAAGAGAATTACTCCAATGTAAAGCTCATTCTCTCTCTCATTTCAATCAGTGAAATCAACTGTTGTCTCGTGTGATATGAAGTTGGCAAATATAATTTGTGGATTGCAATCACATACTTCAGCTCATCCATGCACATGGTGCACTGTGGAAAGCTCTAACCATGCAAACCGGGGTACTCTGAGGATTTTTAGATCTTTGAAGCAAGCACACAAAACCTACACAGCAGCTGGATCCGACATCAAGAAAGTAAAATTGTTTGGAAACAAGATTCATGACCCTATTCTCTCACTTGATGAGGATGCACTTGTGCTTGATCTCATTCCACCAATGGAGCTTCATCTACTGCTTTAGGTTGTTAACCATGTGTTCAAGATTTTAACAGACCTTTGGCCCAAATCAGCTGAATGGCTCCAAGCTTTGCACATTCAGACCCATCCTTTTCATGGTGGTCAAGAGCTTTTTGAATGTTAAGAATTTTCGAGAATGCTGTCATTTCATGAATATGTGCAAAATAAAAATTTTCAAAAGAGATTTTCTCGGACGTAATAGGATGATTTGATTTTTTATATTTTTGGAATCCAGGAGTCATAAGCTTTCATAGATTATTTTAAACTTTGTTTCTAGATTATTTTAAGCAGCAATGTTTTCTTTATTAAAGGCGCTATCAATTTTGCCAATTTTCGGATGATTATATATAAAAGTTGGATGAAAAATACCGCTTTTCTATTTCATTTTATTTTTATTTCTATTAAAATAGTTTGATACTTTAATGGAAATAAAAATAATAAAATAGCAGAATATAATTTTAAAAAATACGAGGATAACTTTTAAGTTTACACATATTATATTTATTTTTCCGCGGAATAAACCTTTTTAAACTTATCAGCTGTAAATCCTGTTGGAAAAGTTGTAAATAAAAATGTAAATAAAAACTCTATGATAGTCCTACTTTTAAATGACTTCGAGCATTGCAAATAACTTGCTATTGAAATTTTTAATTTTAATTGTGTATAAAACGGCTGAAAGATTACTAAAAAAAATGCACAAAAAACTGCTTAAAATCTTAAAATTAAATTTTTTTTAAATTTAACTTTTATTTATTAAAAGACAGTGGCATTTTAGGCACTATTATTAATCATCTTGGATCTATATTCACAAGTTACTTACAATCTTAAATACTTCTAATTGTAGATTAGCTCAATAAATACAAAAAGTTAATGTTTAGTTATTGAGAATAAAAATACATGGTATAAAATTTGTATTTTTATCATTTAGAAGTTTGAGTTGATAAAATTGAATAAGTTATCAATCAAATATCTAAGTGAATCATGATTCTTAGAAAATATTTATTCACAAAAATTTTGGATCCAGAATAATTATTTTTGAAAATAATTATTTTTATTCCAGTTTTAATTATATATAAATCTACCCTATATGCTAATTTTTTCTTGAATGTTCATAATGTTTTTTATCTGACATCATTTAATGATACTTTTTTTATTTGACTTTTGATTATAATTAGTCGATTTTACGAATAATTATTATATATATTATATATATATATATATATATATATATATATATATATATGTATATATATATATATTAGAATTATATATATATATATATATATATATATATATATATATATATATATATATATATATATATATATATATATATATATATATATATATATATATATATATATATATATATATATATATATATATATATATATATATATATATATATATATATATATATATTAGGGTGATTCATACTTGACGAATTTTTGAAAATCAAGTTGGTCCTGGAATGGTTGACCACCAATATAAAAATAATTTTAAGTCCAATAATTTTAATGTCACGTAACTTTAAAGGTCCCCGCCGGTCAAATTTGTGTACAAAAACGTATCAAACTTTAGGGGTCTGGCGGGGACCTTTAAAATCAACTCAGAAAGCCAAATTTTCTTTTATATGGTATATTTTAGACTATTTATTTATAATAAGGTAGGACCAAAATGAAATATGGTGGTATTTATTCCACATAGTTTAGAGAAAGTGACAAAAAAAACGAATTTTTAAATAAAATGACGCACCACTATGTATAACTGACGCTTGTTTATTCTTCATATTTTTTTTTTTTTTAATTTTTTTTTTTATTTTACTTCACCTCCTCAAGGCTAAGAAGGCCACTACAGACGAGGAGGCTACTTATTTTGTGGCTAAACCCTCTCTCAACTCTATGACTCCAAAACACGAACCTTGATGAACAAGGCCGCTGCGCGGAGAAACGAGTTGAGCGCGGTACTACCAGGGACGTGGTGAGGATTGAACTCGGAACCACTCGTTTATGAAGCGAGCGCTCTACCACTACACCACTACCGCATTTAGGCCGAATTTTGAACATTAATGTTAGGACTAAGCATTAATAATGTTTATATAGAAGGGGCATGTCAAAAGCTATCCGCTACCCTCCATCTATTTTCAGAGATGTCTCCCCCCCCCATTCTTTATTCGTTGGAGATGGGGAGGGGGCAAGCAAATTTATTTAAATTTTATTGTAATTCATATTATTTAAAATCACTTCATTTTCTTTAAAAAAAAAAGACAATATAAATATTAAATTATGATAACATTTTGACTCCTGAATATTTTGGAATTTTTATTAGTTTTCGTGCTAATTTTATAAACTAACAAATTGTCGTAATTGCATAAGACATATTGTCGTAATTTTAAATTCTGCTCTGTGTTCTGTGTATCTGGTGTATCCAAAACATTCTATAAAAGGTATACTATCTGCGGTTATATACAAAATTTTTATTGTAAAATACATGTCATTTAATCAAAGAATGAATATCAATTTTTTTCTTTAATCAAATTACTGTTTAGAAACCAAGATGCCAAGATCAACAAGACTTAAAACAAAATCTTTTTCAAGAAGAGGATCTTATAGAAAACCTACCAGAAATAATGTTTTCAACAAATAAAGACATTATTCTCTACTTTCAGTTTAGAAGATCTGGAGACAAAATAACTCAAACAAAAAACCTGATTGCTTGTACCATTGGTCATCAAACAGCAAAGTGTTCTGGTCTTGGTAGCTGTCCTGAAAACTGCATTATGTTTGCAGTTAAGAAACCTTGAATAGACGGAGGATACGAGGATGGGATACTCACTGACTTATTTATAAGGTAGGTTAAACAAAATTTAATTCCTATTTAAGGGACAGGTTACCATAAAATACACTACAAAAATTTTTAATAATATAATATTTTCTAAACCAGTTATATATATTATTACAGGAAGCATATCACTGATCTGATCAACAGCTGGGAGAGTTTAAAGAAAAGTAAGTGTAAGAACTCGAAAGAAGCAGGAAAAACTAG